GGACCCTAACGACGGCTCTGCCTCCTTCCTCCCCGCAGCTCATCGAGTACGCCAAGCTGGGGGACACCAACGAGCGCGCCATGCGCATGGCGGATTTCTGGCTGACGGTAAGTACCCCTCCCCAAATCCCTCGTTGCCCGCCTTCAGCCCCCGTGCTGGAGCTGAGCATGCCGCCCCGCAGGAAAAGGACCTCATCCACAAGCTGTTCAAGGTGCTGGCACCCCGGTTCCAGCCCCACCCCGGCAGCTACACCCGCCTGCTGCAGATCCCCAACCGGGATGGCCTTGACCGCGCCAAGATGGCGGTCATCGAGCTCAAGGGGAACCCCTTCCCACCGCTCATCTGCCCGCGACGCGACACCGAGAAGACACTGCTCAACCAGCTGCTGAAGGGCTACCGGGAGGACATGCAGCGGGCGGCAGCCCCGCAGGCCCCCGAGGGCACCCCTGTGTAGGCATCCCCCTCTGCCCTGAGGGAGGCCCCGTGCCTGCGCAGGGACGGGGTTTGGCGTGAGCTGCCCACGCACCAGCCAGCTTGTTGCTGTCCTGGAGCACAGGAATGGAAGACGTCCCGGGAGGTCTGAAGGCTGATGACTGACCTTGAGTTGCCGTGACAGGGGCGCAAGCTCAAGGTTTACTCGCTTCTTCCTGCGGTTTGAATAGAGACTCGGCAAGAGAAGGAAATCAAGCTGGGAGCCCTAATGGTTGATATTCTCTGTGTAAATAAACTCTGTTCAGAAAGTGAGTTTGCTTCTATTTGGAGTATATTCCAGTGCACATGAGTTAGTAACTTATTCCAGCAAAGACTGGGTTTGTTAGAGCTCCTGGTCCAACAGCCCTACTCTGAGGCAGCATCTCCCCTTCACTGTGACAGTGCAGTGTTTTCTAGAAACCAGTGTGCAGCCTTTCAGGGCAGGAAATTCAGTGAAAAAATTAAGTTAGTTTTGCTGTTTCAGAAGCACTGAATGCAAATAGGAGGGTAGCACTGAGAGAAGTCTTAAAAGAGGCGATACCAAAGGGACTTGTGTTATAATAAGGAGGCAATGTGGGCGGGAATAATAGTTGTCTCTACCAAGAGCTTGTTAGACATCTCAGCCTCAGGTGTAGGGTTGCAAGAAATCTATGTGTTGCCCTATGAGAACAAAAAGGGATAGTAGCAGAACTTTTTCAGAGAGTGATACAACTACTGGGAGATAAGAAACTTAAATTGCTAGTTGTGTCTTTGATTTCAAGTACAGCTAGTGCTAGAAAGTCCTAGCTGTAGCTTCTGAGTGGAGGGAAAAAAAAAACCCAAACAAAACCCCCCCCCGCCAAAGGTGTTGGGTTCCTTCCTCCCTCCCAAGTTTCACAAACTTAAGACAAATGAGTGATCCTATGTAGTGAGTTAGCTGTATGGAAAGACAAAAAAACCCCAAGTGATGCTAACTTAAAATTTGGTAATTCTTTCTTTAGGACACTTACCTCACACAATACCACTTTTGTTTTAATGAATTCCAGTGAGAAATTAAAGATGTGTGGTACTGTTTAAGGAAGAAGGAAAAAACAGTCAAACTACTAAAAAGTCAGTGTTCAGACAGACCTTAATCTTTATGTTTCTAATGATCTCGAAATTGCCCTCTTTGCAATTGACCTAGCGTCTTGCTCAAAAAGACGTTTTTCCCCTCAATAGAAGAGATGAACCAAATTGCTATTGCTGCAGAGCTTCCACATTATTAAAAGTCCATGTTGAGGCTTTAATGAAATACTCAAGAATACTACTTTCTCTATTTCTTCCTTAAATTGGTCTTTCATCCTAGCAAATTGAACCCTAGCACATTACCAGCGGTCGACGACCCAGTGTGCTGACTGTAGCCCTCTAGGAGACTTTCCCTGTGCCTCAGGGGCAGAGGTGCTGCCCAAGCTTTTTCACTGTAGCATTTCAAAGCGATAAGGCTGCTGCATACCTTGAAGGCAAAGGCGAGTGCTGTTTCACCTGCTTAATCTCTCAGGATTCAGATTAGAAATGTGAACGCTGTTTGATAAGCGTAAGTCTGTGTTACCTACCAGTTTATTTCAGCGGATTAACTTTTCTGTGGGATTGATGAGAAACTGAGAGGTAGGATTTTAACCACTGAATCATTTTCCCTTGGTCTGCCCACCTGTCGCTTTCTTAGAGGAGGAGAGACAATAACTGTCAAACTATTTTGGTAGAAAACTCAAGGATAGGCATGATAAAAATATGTCAAGGGAGGAAGATGACTGCGGCCCTTTAGCACTAGCTGAAAATCCAGTGTTATGCCCATGTTACCATTACCTGAAACATCGGTTTTGAGCAAAGGACCCAGAAGCAAGAGCAGGTAGATGTATATGTAGACAAGTAAATGTGAAAACACTGATTTAAAAAGACAGTTGGATAAAAACATTTTATGTTTTTAGAACATAGGTCAAGAACAGGTCAAGCTCTCTTCTGCTTGTCCTTAGATTAATAATCTGAGGGGAAAAAAATCTAGAAAAGCTAGAAGCTTCTAAGCTAAGTTGGGGAAGTCTTGATACAGATTTTTTATATACAAATCCTTAGTGTGCATACCTATTTTTTTGCAATATCTGTATTAAGATTAGGACAGCTGACAAAGCATTCATAATCTCACAAGCACGGCGCATAGTCCCTCTAAATGCAATTCTCCTACTATAGGTCCTTGAACGTTTCCTAAGACTGTGTAGGCTTCTAGCAAGAGGGGCGGTTGTCCTGCCGGTCTGTCTTGTACTCAGGTGGGTCAGGCTTTCAGCTGCCTGTAGAGGAAAACAAAGGGGAAGTTCACTGTTAATACATGAAATCTGTCCTTACTATTCCCTTGTATCCTGGCTGCCAGAGCCAGGTCTTCTCTGTCAGCCTTATAACCTTGTCATACATGCAAATACACAGGTCCATATGATCATTTTTATGTTCTGACCCTTCCCTCAGCCCCTTCCACCTCTGGAAAACAGATGCCTACCTGACTGCAGTCGTGAGACTCTGATACCAGTCATTAATATCTTGTTGGTCACCGGACATCAACAACAGTGTCTTTTGTGGAAAGGAAAGCTGAAAGGCAAACAGAATCTGGTGCCACCCTGTGGCATGCCTTGCCAAGGCAGCAACTCTGATAAAAGGAGGGCCATCACCACTGAACTCAACTCAGCCCGGCATGCTGATTTCCACCATTTTCTTTCCCAGATAGAAAAAATTAGCATTGGTACTCGGAGAAGCCAGAGGCTGGACAGTACAGAGCGAGCGCCAGTCTTGTCCATTCCTTCCAGCCACAGATGACAGCTCACTTTGACTTAATAGGGTGTTTGGAAGTGAGCAATTACAGTTCTCAGCAGCTCTTCATCCAGTTTTCTCCCGTATTCCAAGCTGCCCCTAGGGGTCCTTCCACTACCACCATCTACAGATCACAGTTTACCCAGTCTTCCTTGTCACAGCTCACAAGGAATGAGCTAAGACAGCCCCCAGGTGCTGCAACCTAGGAAAACCTGAACTTGAAACCCCTACCTAAGGCATCAGTCCCAGTCAAAGACCCTGCAGCCCTCAGGGAGTTAGATGCACAAGCAACATCTGTTGTGATAATACCCACATCTTTTTGCATTCTCTGTTTTTCAGGGTTTTCTATAAGCTCAGTCCACAGTCAACGTAATGCTACATATTCATTGTCACATGACTGTGGGGCTGTCCCCCCAAACATGTGGCTCTGATGAGGGCATGTCAGAGTCTTATCGGAACCTCCTCACCTGAGATGAGTGAAGCAACCAGCAACCTGTACCCCAGAGTGCTCAGGAGGGCCTGCACCACGAAAGGAAATGGACCTACATCACTCAAGAAGAGAAGGGTTGCCCTAACTCAGTCGAGTTCGTTGCATTTACCATTGTCACCACTCTCATCATCTCAGTCCTGCTGCTGCTGAGGCAGCTAGAGACCTGCTTTGCAAGTCTGACTCCACTGATGCTTCTGCCAGGCAGAAGCGGGAAGACTTACACTGAGGAGCCCTCCCTGGCTCTGCGTGTGGCCGAACACTTTATCCACCACGCACTGGTGAAGCGGGTAGACAGCCTGGCATGCCAGTTTGTTTGAGCTCAGCGGGTGCAGTGGGTGGCAGGGCTTTGTTGCAATAAAGATGTCAGAAAAAAGGAAGAACATCCTGCGCTTCAGTTCTTCTCCCTTTGAAGGCACCACCAAAAGCCAGCCTTCCCGGATATACCAACGCCCTAGGCATGCAAGGGAAATAAAGACAGTTGTCAGATCATCACTGGAAAAAAAAAAGGAGGTAATGAGACAAACAGGAATACAGTGTGCTGCCCTTGTAGGTTACCAGGTTCTACATCAATTCCAGCCACTAGAAGGCACTGAGTATCAACTAGGGCCAGCTCACCAGCACTGATGGCATCCATGAAGAAACAGTGATCGGCCCAAAACTTTTAGTATATGAGGAGCAGACTGAAATTGTTATAAATCTACTATGTTAATTATGAGGATATTACGATATGCAAACCTGTTTAAAGAGACCAGAACAAAAACATGGTTTGAAAATGGTATGCATACCTTTCAATTAACATAAGCCTTTCAGAAAACATACCATGAACTATCTTAAATTGTGTTGCCCAATCATTTGTCATTAGTGGTGAAACAGAAGTTAGCCTAAGCTTTGAACATTTATTTTATTTTCCCCTTGTTTTGTTTGCTTTTATAATTTCACAAATTCAATTTTGCAATTTAAAAAAAAAACCACAAACGTTTCACAGGTCATCTAACTATACACGGACCTCCAGTAGTTAACAGATTACAGAATGCAGATTACTGTTCTAATGAGAAGACAGCAAAGGGGATACAAAACAACATATTAAAAGGAAGGTCTGAATAGGCAACCTTATCAACCTTCTTTTACAGAATAGGGTCCAGTGTCATCTACCCATGAAATGAATTGCAGTAAAACAAAAGGCAGAGAAATCAGTATCAGGAAAAAAATCAAAAAAATTTGATAAACCTAGCTGTAAGCAGCAATAAAAAAAAAGGCATCTGCACAAAATGGAATAATTAAAGCAGTGCCTCTACCTAGAAGGATTATTGTACAAGATGGCCATCAACTCATGGGAATTATGAAGACACCTGCCAGTAAGATTATTTATAAAAATTTAAAGCCATAATAAGGTATTGCCATCTGGGAAACACCTGCCAGAGAATTTCAGCACTGTTTTTCATGCCTCAGCTTCTGGCTGAGCTAGTAAGTACTTTTTAGAGAACCACACAATTTTGTTTTAATTATGGATTGCGTCTTAGTTAGTATGCTACAGTCACAAAACAGAGGCAAGTGAATTCCTGCTTAGCTTACTCCACAGGATCCACTCCTCTTATCTGAATAAGAAACGGAGAAAGAGATGGGTGAGGTGCAGGAATCAGTCCAAAACAAATGGAAGGAAGGTGTCAGCAGCCTGGGGCTGGACTGGGAACTGTTTCCCTCAGGCTAAACTGTGATCAGACTCCCTGGCATACAGTTTGAGCTGGACTGTGCTGGAAGTCTTGGGATATAGATCCGTGTTCAGGGTTCCCAGGCGCATGTGATTTAGGAAATTCTTGTGAAAGGAGGGCAAGGAAATATCGCTAGGGAAGCTAGGGATGACAGTGTGGTATGTTAAGGAGGTAGTTCTGGCTAAGATGGTATTTGCCCTATATATGGAAGGCAGCAAGAAAAGCAGGGTCTCTTAATTGGGAGCAGCTCATCTCAGAGATACTGCTCAATGTGAGATACCCAACTCCAAAGCTACTCCTTTTCTCTGAATCTATAGCATTACGTTTTCTCACCTCTTCCTTCCTAGTAACAGGATGCAATCTTAACAGTTCTGCAAATGCAAGATTGTTTCTAGAAAGCTGGCCCAAAAATAGCAAGCCCCAGCTGTCTCTTACTTTTCTGTTTCTCACATCCAACAGTACCTATTTTACTCCAGCTAATGGAGAACACGACCATCACAGTTCTCTGCCCTAGACAATGGAAAGGTGTCTATATACCCTCGTCCTACTACATGTCTCAGAATATTCAGAGACAAAAAGAAAAGTGGACCCAACGCTTTCAAACAATGCTCATCTCTGATCTAGCTATACTGTTTTGGGGTTGGATTTTTTTTGTCATGGGTTATCTTATCAGTTCTGTCATCAGGATAACTGATTTACCTTTTTACTTATGCACTACCCCAATGTGTCCAGGCACCCCCAACAAGAGCATGCTCAGTATAAGCAGAGCACACCTGTGTTACCTCCCTTTCAGCTAGCATCACCAAAAGGATTCTAAGACAAATAGGAAAGAGAATTGTAAATTAATCTGCCCATTCACAGAGCACCTTCAAGAACCATAACCTCCGATAAATAACCTTTTTCTACCCAATTTGTGCTGAAAAGAGTGTTGACAACACAGGGATGTTTTTGTTACTGCTGAGCAGTGCTTACACAGGGTCAAGGCCTTTTCTGCTTCTCACCCCACCCCACCAGCGAGTAGGCTGGGGGTGCACAAGAAGTTGGGAGGGGACACGGCTGGGACAGCTGACCCCAGCTGATCAGAGCGATATTCCACACCATATGACGTCATGCTCAGTATATAAAGCTGGGGGCAGAAGGAGGAAGGGGGGGACGTTCGGAGTGATGGCGTTTGTCTTCCCACGTAACCGTTCCACGTGATGGAGCCCTGCTTTCCTGGAGATGGCTGAACACCTGCCTGCCCATGGGAAGTAATGAATGAATTCCTTGTTTTGCTCTGCTTGTGCATGTGGCTTTTGTTTTATCTCAACTATCAACACAAATACTCTGATTTCTGGCACAGTTTAACGCTGCGGATAAAAGAAGTTTCCTCACGTATAGGGTGTAAGCAGAAGTCCATGAAGCTTGTAGCTCAAGGTAAAAACCAACACAGTCCTTGGGCCCTTGACACTCAAATCTATGGAGTAGGAAGAACACCGCTACTTACGCTCTCCCAAAATTATTTAATGTCTTTGTGTCATTCTTACCTAGGACTTACGCTCCTGACCTCCTTAGGTTCCTGTGACTAACTTTCTATGTGTGATCAGCTCCTCCTATCTGAATGTCAGGCAATTAAGCTGCTGATTATCCATTCTAAAAAATTCTTAATTAAAAAAAAAAAAGTGCCTGAATTACTTACTAGTTACATTCCTTCACCAGCTACCTATGGAATTGGGCCAGAAGGGGAAAACTGGTTAATATGAGTTGAGTCAGAGATGACGGCAAGCATATCTCCAGTTATCTCAGCTTGGTAGAAGAAAAACAGAGCTGTCAGTTAAGACCCACCTGGAGTCAACACCTGGGTCTTCTGTCCTTTGAGTAGTTTCTGAACCCGAAGTAGCTGCAATGAGTTCTCTCTCTTATGAATGATGTCTTGGACCCACCGAGATACCTCAGAAACGGATTTCACAGCCTCTGAAATTATAGCAGCATATTCTGAGGTTATCACAAATGAGTACGTATTACACCTTATCTATCTTGCTATGAAAAGTTAACTGCTAGTAGATAGGGCATGAAGGACATGAATCATCCTGGAAAACTGGAAAAATGACCAATAGAGTCATAGAATGGTTTGGGTTGGAAGGAACTTGTAAAGATCATCTAGTCCAACCCCTCCACCATGGGCAGAAACATTTCTCACTCGATCAGGTTCCTCAAAGCCCTGTCCAACCTAACCTTGAAGACTTCCAGTGATGGGGCATCAACAACTTCCCTGGGCAACCTGTTCTCACCACCCTCATTGTAAAAAACAGAGCTGCCATTTCTCTGACCTAACCCCTAGGCCACTTTTCCAGTCAGGTACTCTACATTTTTATTCCCTATGTGTTCTCAGGGACATCTTGATCAAGATGGAGAAGGGAAATAGTAATCCACTAGAACCCCAGCGAGAAGAAGATTTTCCTTCCTGTGAAAGTAGACAGAAGACAAGAATCCAAATATTATTAGCAAGGAGGCTAACACTGATCCAAGTGCCAGCATCTATAGGTAGAATCATACTTGCAAGTTTCTGGTACTCAGCACTGTCTGGGCTGGTGTTCTCCAGCAGGTCTCTGAGGAAATGCTTGTACCTAAGATAGAGAGAGCAGGTTTATTTCACAAAAAGATACCAGGAACAGCAGCATCTCCTATTAGTGACAGAATGATGAACAATACTCTGCCAGGAGATGGAGCACACACATCTAAGTCTAACCAAGCAGCTTTTGGTCACAAATCTTCAATCACGTTCATTTTATCTTCAAATTTATCAACTAAATTAACCTAAGTATTTTATACGTTTGCAAGCCTTTGGCATTTCCTGGGGATCTGACAAAAGCAACCTCACATTATTACTTAAGTTCACAAGACTCTCTTCGCGTTCGTATAAAAATGCCTTCAATAACAGACAAATTTCTCTTTGAACAATGGTGGGTTTTTTTTTAATGTCTGAATGGTAGCATTCATACCATATGTTTCCTGCCCACACAAGAAAATAAAGGCATTTCTATAAGAACCAGGAGCCACCTTTTCCTGGTAAAGACTGGAGAGGAAAAAAGAAAGGATCAGATCTCCGCAAATGCTTTCTCCCAGTAAAGTCAAACTATTTTCAGTCTGAAATGACAGAAGAAATATCACATTGAATAGATTCATGAACTGGCAGAAGTCATAAGACCTGCAGTATATGTAAAAGAGTTTCTAAGAAGCTTGAACATGAAAGAACTGACTAACGAAAAAATTAGACCTTCTCTTAAAAAGCTACCATTTTTCCAAACAGTTGGACAGCAACAAATATACTGCTATTTTACAAATTTAAAGGAACAATCCAAAGAATTACAGTAAAAAGAAAGTTTATGTTTATATCTGCCAAACTGATTAAAAAGGTTACATAAAGCTACCTGAAAGACTGTGGTATGCTCAATCCGAGTTATTTTCAAAGAAACAAGGCTCTCAATCTCTCAAATTTGCTTTAGCGTGGATAAGACCATGGTTGAAGAGCAGCTACTTGATCTATAGCAGCAGCAGCAGCTGGGTTCCCAGCAAACTACCTGTGCTCTGTACTACCCACATACCCTCCCCAAGAGAGGGCAGCCCTTGAGTGCATGCAGCACTCGCCTCGTGCAGTCAGCCTGCCTCTTCAAAGGGGAGATGATGCCTCAAGGGGGGAATGCAGCAATCCAGACTGGATCTGTCCAGGCTCAGACAACTGCGATAGGCACCAAGTGTGAGGAAAGCATATGGCCCTGGTAACCAGAGAGAGGAGAAAAGCTCCCCCATGTTCATTGATCTCAACTCTCTCCAAAAGCAATCATCTACAAGAGAGGAGAGTCACAATGCTCCAGGTCAGCAACCTGCACAAAAGCGGAACAAGACCACCTCTGGCAGAGACCACTTCTGCAGCACTTCAGACAGCTGGCTTTTGTTCAGGGCCTAACTTCAGTAGCTTACCGAGATGACAGAAAGCCTCCACTTCATTTCTACCTGAGAGCTAGATGAAGGGCTTAGGAGCCAGGGCTAAACATAGCTACCTCTCTGCACCATCTCTCATCCAGGTGCACTGATTCCACTTTACAGGCACGTCTTCAGGTCTGTTTCATTGCTGTCTATATGCTCCGATTTTGAGACACATTAAGCAACTTTACCTCCCATAGCAACAAAGACACTGTTATGTTCCTTTTTCCCTCTCATACTAACACCTTGAAGACTCAGAATTTCTTACTTACTGGTGCAACCTCTGCAGGGGCAAAGGAAGCAGATCCTCTAGTTTCCTCCCTTGAAACTGAGGTCGAGTCTCCTGGAGTTTCTTAAACCGTCGGAATGACTTATTTTTCCTCAACTGCTCCTGTGTGCAGCAGAAAAGGCATATAGCTTTGAGACTATAGAAAGAAGCATGAGCTCTAGTCTGCACCAGAGCTTGGAACTCTTAAAACTTAAACTTAGAGTTTAGCACTCAAGTCCCAAATGCAAGCATCAACAACTTCTTTTGTGGCCATGGGCAAGCAATTCCCTTTCTCCTGACACCATTTCCCAGGGGGTAATGGAAGCGATATCCCCTCTTCATACATGCACAGCAGTATAAAGCTAGCATACTCAGCAAATTGAAACGAAGAAAAAAAGGAAGGTTGACTCAGATAGGAAAACAAGGATTCCACCTGTGGCTTTTTGCCATTCATTTCAAGACAAAGAAATGCAGCCCTGCATTCCCATTGCCTCAAGGCAAGTATCCAAAATTACTTTTTCTCTTGGGAAATCAAAAGTGTGAATATATGCATGTGAACAGAACAGAAGGGAAACATCCCAGTACGTCCTGCAGCTTGGAACAAGCACAGACAAAAACTGGAAGTCAGATGGTTTAAATTCCAGATACGGCTGTCAGGACTTTGAAATAAAAATATATCCTTCTGAAATTTCTTGGAAGACAGGTTGTATTTGGAGAGGTAAGTGGGAAGGAAAAATTTTTCTTCTACCACAGAAAAAAAAATTGGGAAGGAAAAGGAAATCCCACTGTTAGAATACAGTTAGTGGTAGTGGGAAAGACTAGAAGACATGATAATTCTCCAGAAAGAGATCACTGTCCCCTAACATTCCCACTGCAAACTCTCCAGGCTTGCCAGTCAAGGAGGAGTGGGAGTAAATACAGAACTCTGTTTGAGAAAGCTGTGCTCAGCGTATGCACATACATACACAACCACCTGAAACAAGCTTCAAAAATTTGAAGCTCTAAATAAGTAGAGAAGTTTTCACCATTCTATTATGGAAGAAAGACTGAGAAAATAGCAGCAGCCCAGAAAAAGGAAGAAAACTGATAACTCCAGAAACAGAAGAAAAAGGGAAGGATGTAGCTCTTTCACAGAATGGAGAAAGAGAGGGAAGAACATGAAGAATAAAGGGGATATTTACCTTCAAGGTTTTATTTGCCTGCTCCAAATTCTCAGCGTAATGGCCATAAAGCTCCAGATTCTGACAGAAATTTTCCAATCCTGGTCCCAAATTCCCTCTCTCCAGGTGAAGTGACAGAACACTGTGCACAAGGAGCAAAGATAGCTCATGAGGTGTACATTACTGATGGCATTTTCACAGCTCCCTCTGGTTCACTCCTATGTTGACCTTCCTTTGTAAGTCTCCACCTCACATACAGTTTCTGTGCCAAATACACGCTTTGTGGTCACAGAGTAAGCCATAGAAAACATCCCTTAAAAATACCACGGAGCAGACTTACTGGGTTTAAACCACTATCCAGAGAGCAACTGGGCATCTGGATATGTGGATACAGATCAGCAGTTTCCTGGGTACACCTGCAAGTGCCACCAAGGCTAGCAGTGCTAGAAGTGAATGCCTGTTTTGCAAGGTGTTAGCTTTATTTCCTGAAATCTTACTTTCTCATCAATATAGGGTCCTCCCCATATAACTACAGGAATCACATCAGCGTGTTCACTTACTGGCTCGCCGAATATATGGATTCCAGGGGTCCAAATATGGTTTCCAACACAGCAGGTTTCAGTGTCCCTTTGGCCTTTAAAATTGTCACAAAGAACTAAGTAGGAAAAAAGAGAGAATTTCAAACAGGTAAAATTCAGAGGTCACTCAAAGGTTATTCGTGGCACACAGCAGAAGCAAGAAGTTGCAGCCTGCATGCTCTGTAGCTCAAAAGGATACCAAATAGGCATTGTGAATGCCTACCTAAGATATCTATCATCAGATGTAAGCCTTCTTGGTAACTTTGACCGTAACTGTAAACACATGGAACAGCACTACAGCACTGATAGAGTCTATTTCAGTATTCCTAGATGCATCTGTTTTTCACGACCTTGTTCATAATTTATCTTTGTCTTATCTGTGCCCCTATGTTTCATACATCTCAGGCATCTTAAGGTGAGTCCCCTATACAATCAAAACTTAAAGATTTATGTCTGTGTACAGACCAAAGCCAAGGGGCCAAAACCATGAGCTATTGGATATTACAGAGGAGGTAAAAGAAAAAACCTTTCAGCCCCAGCAGTTGTCCCATGCAGTAGGGATGTACCGAAATCTTGCTCTTCACTCTTCCCCCTGACAACACAAATAAGTACGCGCTGCCTGAAGGTAGCCAGGTATCAGAAGGTGACAAAATACTCACTGTGACCACCAAATCCAGCTGCTCAAGGTATTTGTGTTCTGTTTCCAGCAGCTCCTTGGCTGTCCGGCTGCGCTTTCTCTCCCAGCGAGCCCTCTGCTCTTCCACAGTGTTTGCTCCAGCCATAAACAGCAGGGACGAGTCACTCATGGCAGCCTCGGTGCTGATATACAGAAAGGTAACCGGTCCTGAAGAGCCAAGAGAAATGGACACACAACAAAAGAATAACCTATGCTACAGGGTAGGATTCTGAGCTACAAACGCTACACTTTACTACGAAAGAAGGTGTCGTGCTTTAACCTCAGTCGGCAACTGAGCACCTCACAGCTGCTCGCTCATTCACCCCGGTGGGATGGGGGAGAGAATCAGAAGAGTGAAAGGGAGAAAACTCGTGGGTTGAGATGAAAACAGTTTAATAATTGAAATATAATAAAATAATAATAATAATAATAATAATAATAGTAATAATAAGAATATACAAAGCAAGTGATGCACAATGCAATTGCTCCCCACCTGCGAACCGATGCCCAGCCAGTCCCCGAGCAGCGGCCCCCCCCGGCCAGCTTCCCCCAGTTTATGTACTGAGCATGACGTCCCATGGTATGGAATGTCCCTTTGGCCAGTTGGGGTCAGCTGTCCTGGCTGTGCCCCCTCCCAGCTCCTT